TTGCCATGACTCAACCTCCAGATAATTCCACCTGGATGACTGAGAATCTTCATCAACTTGTCCTGATTTAGTTATCAGTTTTCCCCTTTATGTCAATTTGGCTTTATTAGCATTAGTCAGAGATGCTGGAAAAGCATTAGAAACTGGCACTTTGATCTTACATCTAGTGATTCATCCAATTCAAAAATCCTGTCTACAACAGCAGTAAGAATAACAACATATGCCTACAATGTTTCAGAGCACTACCCAGACAGCAACTGCTGGAACAGAGTCAATTTCTTAATCAAGATTTTGGTTAATTTGGTAGCATATTCTACTTTTAAAAAAAGTTACTAGACAGTTGTGTTGCAGGTGCTGTTCTTATCTTGTTTTTAAGGGGGACTGCCAATTAACTGTTTTATTAATAGTACCACAAAACAATCCGATCAAGTAAATCTCATATGCACATATCGGGAACACAAATGGATACCCCTATTCAGCTCTGGGAGACTTCCTAGTAAAGGAGCACAGAAGAATCGAGCTGTAAGGCTTGACCTTGTTGGCTAAGCTAACTAAAGCACACAGTACAGCAACTAGCAACCTGACATGCATACAAATCGCTTTCAAGGATTGAAAAAGAAAGAAAAGGAGAAAACGGGGGTGAATTCAGATGCTGTACCCATCTTTAGTTTGATCATCTTCAATAAGCTTAAGAATTGCTTTAGAAGGTACTCCAGAATACATTCCTTACTTTTTGCTATTGGCTGACATTCATGCACTAGTCTATTAGCATTACAATTGATTAGAGAACTCTGTCTTAGCATCTGGGCCCAAATTAGGAAAAGGCAGGAACTGGCCAATTCTTCTTGTTGGTGCGTTCTAATGAGCAGGTGAGTAGAAAACCAGCCAATCCTCAGCCAAAAACCAACTGAAGAGTACAGCCATGTCCATAAATTGAGCTGATTAAAGAGTAAATACATAATTACCTTTTGAGTATTTCAATGCAATTTAGCAATAGCAGGGAGTTACTGTAACAGCCATTTGTGTCAGTGTGAAAATTAATATTGAATTGTAAGCCCAAGAGGCATTTCAGAAGGTACAGATATCTGCCTATCACTTACTTTATCTGTTATTTTGGAAGAAAGATATTTCAGTAGCAGTAAAGGCTGTTATGCTGTTCCTGCAAAATCAGACTCTTCTCAAAAGGATTTTTTCCCACTAGTCTAGCCTCTGATAGTGCCTATGATAATCTGCTGTGAAATAGCAAATAGTCAAATATTAGCTGCCAAATAATTATGACTATTTACCAATAAAGCCTAAAAGAGTACACAACTTAACCAGCTGCATCTAACAAAGCTTTCTTATACCATCCCTGAGGACAGGGATTCACCAGAATTATTGATGTTCCAGTAATCCCCATGATTGCTTCTTATAATGAAAACAGTGTTGCAGCTCCAAATGGTACATAACTTGACTCCCTGGGGTCAGACACAAAATATGCATTGTTTTTGTTATGGTTCACCTACATTGCAGCTGAGCAATTCCAGGTGCAGTTATTACTTTTAAAGCAACACATAGTCAGAATTGGTATATCTGAGGGAACCCTTATCTCCATAAGATTTTCTGGAGAAGCACTATTCCATATATCACACTTATAAGACATAGTGGGCTAATTCAACCCAAAGAATACAGCCATCCTGAAAATCAAAAGTCAAGAGTTACCAAAATATGAAAAGAAGAGGAATGGCATAAACCCTTGTGGAGCAAAAAGAGCTTCAAAATGTTCCTAATTGCAGCCTCTGCCCATGATTCACAGGTGAAGAAACAGTGCAATCCCACATAAATTTGCATACACAAAGATCTAGGTCAGATTAGTGACTTCTTGGCCTCTCTCTGTCATGGTGCAACAAGTGACGAATATGTTCCCAAAGAAGATATGACTACCAATTTCATAAATTAGAAGATAAGCAAATCCTTATTTAGTTCATCACATTCTAAGTATAAAATTAAACAATGCCATTATTTCAATGAGTCCTAACTATATTGTAAAGTTGGATTATTTATTGCATTATCAATTTCTGTAGAAAGGCAAGACATTTTTGTAACTAAAACATGCCTCAACAAGCATACAAAGCCAACATTTCTCGCTGATCCACAGAAACTCCTTTGGATTTTGTCAGAAGATTCAAAATCTTTGCTTCTTTCAGGACTAACACTTAAGCAAACACCCTTAAGGTTCTGGATCAAGCAATCTGCTGTTTTAACATGCTTGCAACAGTGATTTCAGATTTATATTGTTTTTGGAAGAAACAGCCTCCTCCTTCAGCATTTAACTTCATTTAAAAATAAAAGCTTTGAAGAACAGAAGGAATTAGAAATGCCACACATGCAAATAAACCCACAATCATCTTAATGCAACATTTCAGGCCAAGCCACTCATTTTTTTTAAGAGAGAATTTGAACTGTTGATTGAAAGTGTTCCAAAGAGAACACAACTCTGATTTCTACCTAAATGCCTTTACTGTTGCTTCTACTTCCCCATTTTAACTCGTTGCTTACAACAGATCTCAGCAAACCCATTCATGGGGTAGAAGAGAGAACAGCAAGAGGATGCAGCACTAACTGGCTGAAACTAGATGGGGCAATAATACGGAACTTAGCCCAGCAGGAAGCACAAAATTGGAAGGGGGAGGTATAACAGCGACAAGGAGAGTCTGAAAGTGGACTTGGGTCCCGACACGGTTTTGCTCCCCTTTCCCTTCTCTGGAAGCACTCCAGGAGACCAGGCCGGCTGTCCCCAAGGCTGCAACTGCACGCACGACGACCCGGCGCTGAGGAGAGCCCAACTCGGCGCGGCTTCCTTGAAAGAAAAATACGCAGGGGGTCACCCCGCAACGCGGCCGCCTGGAAACGCGCTTGCAGTCCCAGGCAGCGGGGCCGGACTGCGAGAGCCCGAGCTGGGGGGAAGCAAAAAAAAAAAGGGGGGGGTGAAGCCGGTGAGATGCCTCGGGAGCAGCTAAGGCCGCTTCCTCTGCAGTCATGGGGGGCTTCTTTCGGAGCAGAGTTAAATG